AGTGTAGTTCGCTGCGGACGGTTGGGCGTGTCAGGCGGGATGAGTTTGGCGCGGTGCCAAACCCGTTCTCCACCAGTTGTTAAAGCGAGCAAATGATATGACTGTATCATATCGTTCGTATTACTCGTTTTCTACCACTTTTTGTCGCATGCGCGCTTCAACAAGAAGGCAGAGAACGGCTTTGACGGGGTGACACACTCATACTGCCTGACACGCCCAACCGTCCGCAGCGAACTAGAGTGTAAACGCTGCCTTATCCTTCCCTACGGTTTTTGGTTTTTATTCGTATGCGTTCCAGGTAGACGAAGATGACGTAGGAGGATTCTGGGAACTTGCTAAGGAAGGATTCGGGTCTGCATTCGCGACCTTCATGGTGGCATGGATTACTGTATATTCGGCTGTATATCAAAGTTCCTGATAGTGTTTCGTGAGGTGTAGTTGAATTCTCTCCAATCCTCTCGCTGTTTAGCTGATAGTCAAACTATAATAGCCATATGGTACGGCTATCGAGTATCGATTCACAGTTCTTTCCTGTTTGTGATAGATTGTTTCTAATTATAGTTTAGCGTTATTTACTCATGTTATGTTTCACAATAACATGTTAATTTAATAACTGCATTATATTTTCATGTCTGTGATAAATGTTTTGACTCGCAGTGGCACAGTAAGTATTGTCTTGGTTTCATCCATCCATATCTCTGCAATTTATTCTATTGCTCAAACTACTTAATAATTGAAAAGTTTTAAGATCTTTAAATGAATCTCGTGGTCCGTAGTTAAGATTGCTGACTGCTCTTGTTTGCGCTGTTGATCTCGTAAGTTTATTCTGATTCTACATCTGCCCTTATTTGAAGTCAGGGATGAAGGGGCGTGTCAGGCGGCATGAGTTTGGCGCGGCGTCAAACCATTTTCCATTGGTTGAAGCGAGCAAGGCTGTGTGATTTCATTCGTATCAGTCATCTCCTCTACTTATTGCCGCCTAACCGCCTCGACAACTTGTTGGGGTTCGGTTCGGCGCCGTGCCGACCCGTCCCACCTGACACGCCCCATCTTCGCAGCAAAGAAGACTATATAAATAGTTTCAACTATTTTCAGCACAAAATTTATTTCAAATTCCCGTGATTCTTCCATGACTAATCATTGCGAATGAGTCCAACAAGTGGCGTTTGGGTAGCACCATATTTGCTAATTACCTTGGCAGTCTTGATCTCGTCAGAACCAAAATCGAGTACGTTTCATTTTGTTAGGTTTTATAAGTAGGTAGTTCTCAATTTCTGCGAACAAGAGAACTTGTTTTTAGTATTCATGGTCTTCTTGACGTATTTCGCAGAGAAAAGCGTCATGCTAGGTCATATCCTGATGACGTTCCATCGGGGAACTGTAACCCAGCAGAGGGTCGTATATGGGCTCGGTAGAACTTTTTCGCTCACTGATTCCTCCGGTTTCACGAAAGTCGGGTGCGACATGGCTTCCTGAAGCCCCCACTTTCAAAAACGCGAGACAAGTTGACTATTCTTGTTAGTCGATACAGTCTGTTCACTGCTACCCCCTCACCGACCTCGATGACAGAATTCGGGGCAAATTTGGTAAGAGTGCGTGGAGAAGGTAGCTTGTGAAGAGGAGTCACACTGAGGAGGAAATGGGGAAATTCATACTGGGACTGCCCTTATTCCACCTATCCCATGCTTACATTCTGTCCGCAGCCAATGAGGCCGCTACCTTGCGGCACAGGAAAATCGTGAACATATAACCTGTCATTATCATAGAGGGAATAGATTTGATTATCATAGAACGGAGAACTCGCGCCTGATTAGATGGTAATCTGTCGTCCGTTATTCTCCATTCACTTACTCTTCGACTCTCCTATTTCCGACTCAGCTATTGCCTGGGATCCTATTCCTTTTTTTCTTCTCTTCTCTTTTTTTCTTCTTTCTATCTTCTTCATCTTCTTCAGTTTCCCTGTCCTTTCATCCTTCTGGTCCCTTATTCACATACACTTCCAATAAACGAGGTCGATCGACTTCCACCTTATCCTTTGGTGCGCATTCTCCGCTTCATTATTTTTTCGAATTAAATGTGCAAGTATAAAAGTGGCTTATTGTCCCAGGCATAGTTCGCGATTTCTTAAGCATTTGTGGTTTATTGGGACAACCGTTGCGAAATTGATAAGTGTTAAAGACTGGTGCTTCAAAGACTCGATTTTCGCAACCAAGTTGGAGATTTTGAAAGAGTTAGGGTATACATGAGTACCGAGATCGAGATAATTTGGTTGAAGGGATTGGTTTTAGAATGTTGATATATTGATTCCTCATATTGACCTTTCGGACATTCATGGCTATTGGACGACGTGGACGCTTTTCAGTAGTTTGACACACTTTTCTCGAATGGCTGTTTAATTCTCTGATTTGAATGCGTCCAGGAGGCCTTTCTTGAATAGATTCTTTGGTTTTGTGTACTGCTGTGTTTTTTTTCTAATTTTTGATGTCGCGAGGCGGTTGACCGCGCAGTTTTAAGGATCTCTTCCCTTACTCCATCGGAATGGTATGTATTCCTGGAGTCAGAGTCTAATGTAGATGCGCCCACATTATTTTCATTCCTGAAAGCTTTTAATCCATCAAAAAAAGTTTTCCTAGGAAATGGGCTTCACGATAAGAGGTAGGCTTCTCTTTTGTGATGTTCCTGTCTGGACTGAATTCTGTTAGTTTTTGTTTTTAGTCCTACTATCATACATATCTTCTACGGATATGATGACGATCCTGGTCATCTGTATCGATTTGACGAAGAACGCGAAAAAATATTTGAATATCCTGACTTCGCTGCAGGTTTCGTCCTTCTCGCGAATGAGACTTTATTAATGAAAGTAGTTTGTCGGCGACACGTATTTATAAATATCATTAATAATAAGATCAGTTTGCGGAACATAATAATATTGTGGGTAGGTGCTAACAATGAAACTATGCACGCCGTCAAACGGTCTGACTGCGTTCTCAATCAGATCCGTAAGCAACGAGAGTTCAGTAAATAGCGAGCAATCGCACGCGTGACAGTGTCTTATTGCAGTCAATTTATTTGCGCCTACCCATTTACGATAGTTCAAGATACGTTGAGATTCATCCTGACCTCAGTTCCTGTAACGAAAAATGGATTGGATGGCACATTTACTACGAGATTAGATTCTCAGCGCAATCTGTGACTTTTTCGACTATGCATTAGAAGTATTTGAAGAAAAAGTTGCGCAGCCTTTTGTTCAATAACAGACCCCGCACTCGGCGAGTCTCAAGATTCCTTGCCCATCAAGTCGGTGCGCAGTCTCAGAAACTGTCCATTCCACGAATTTGCACAGGCTGGCGAGGGAGCTGCGACCGCATTAAGTTGAAGGTAACAATCGTAGGAGGCCATGTCCTCATGCTGCTGGTTCTTACGACGAAAGTAGGAGTGATAATGCATTGTCAATATTTCGCGTAACGTATTTTTTGATTTCTTGTTTTTTTTGCCTCATGAATTTCTTGATTTTTTTTCGACTACTGTTTACCTCTTTCAGGAAATCACATGTGCCGATGTACCTTTGATCAAGCCGCAGGATATATTACGTGGGCATAAAAACATTCAGTGAATACCATACCACTCGTAGTATGTTCTCTTTTTCTATTCCCTTTTCTCTTCTGAGTGGTAATGTACTAGCCTTGTTACAAAATTGCTGGCTTCAATTTTCAGTACCAGTGATCAAGAGAACCTTGGAGTGCTCCTCTACCATCTATCGAATATTACAGCGATCTGGTGAATAATGTGATCCCCACGATCGATTCTGGGATACCCAATACTAAAAAAGGTATTGCAGTGAAAAATTATCTTACGAATATGACGGCCTGTTCTCATGATTTGCTTGCATTTTTTGTTGAATTATTTGTTTTCTGTTTATTTGATCTGATGCGCATAGGCGTGCTACAGCAATGACTCCTTCAAGCTCCATTAGGTCTTAATTAACAGCGCAGTACGCTGTCCAAGCCCTTGAAGCCACCTTCATACCTCGCTATACTCTATGTGCGCCGTATTCGGAACCCCTAGGCCTCCGGTGATCCTCATCTACTGCTTCGGTGAATTCCTGGTTTTTTATTTATACACTGACTCTCCGGAATGATACATATGCTTTCCTTCCTGCATATTTCTCCAGGTCGAGCATTCCCCGATTCTTCCAATGAGGGTAGGAACGGAGGCGTATGAGCGGCACAAAAAACCTGAGTAAAGCTGTCGCACAAATTCCATCGAGTTTAAATGTCGCTCACTTACTAATCTATATGTAGTCGCTAAATGACTTTTCGGGGAGGAGAAATTTCGGCACCGAGCTCATTTTCAGATTGCCTAAGTCACCAAATCCGCTAAAAACTTGTATATAGGGGTAGTTTAACATCCTGATTATGTTAAACTGTGATGTTTAATGTAATGATGTAAATGTTAACTAAAAGAATTACGAATTTCTGGAGTCCAAACGACATTAGCCTCGAAGCGATACCCTGTCGCTTCCAGCCCTTTCATCGTTTAATTCGCGCCGTACGATGCTTTCATCCAACACAGTGGAAGAAAAACTTCGAATCACCATGTAAAAACTGAAATCGTAACGGAACATAACATGGAGTTTTGGTGGGTGGGACAACTAGGAAGGCGTCAAAACGCTGCTTATGAGAGCCGAAGCACCTCCGTTACCTGCTGGGAATTCGCGAAAATGGGGCAGTCCCAGAGACTGAGGACCACTACTTGTACAAGGATGGACTTACGAGTTAGTTGAGCACGAGACTGTCTTTAAATGAGTCGGCCTAGGTGGCGCAAAGGTAAGCTCATTACTCGGGTGGATGCAGGCTCGAGCCCTCCCTGGGATCATTTTGCCTATGACTCAGCATTCTCGTGTTTCTTGAATGTTAATCGTCCTTTAAATCCGTGCATTTGTCTGATCCGAGGCGTCCAAATGCCTCTGCAATCTTGAGTGGAAAGCGCAGAAACTTCTCCATCTGTATGCTCATATGCGCCGCGTTAGTCCTTAGCCACTTTATGGACTCTCTTGTTAACTTAAAGACAGTTGCCCGATAATTTCTAAATATGATTAGCTTAATACTCCTCAGCAGAAGTGCGCCCTGAGCAGTGCGCTGCGCACCCTTTCCCCAAGACGTGCTTTTATTAAGGCTCTAAACATGCTGCAACATACCTAATCCTGAAGCCCAACGCGTCCGCCCGCCCACAAATGACGACCGCAGCTTATGCTCGTATTGCTTCTTTGGCGAAAAAAAATGTGAAGCGAAGGGATTGATATGGCGCCGCGCTGCATAACTAATATTCATACTGCGCCAATTCCCTACCGTACGCTTATTGGCAAGATGCCTACGGAAAACAGTTCAAATCCGGCTTTTTGTGTCATCGAAGAAACGAAAGGCTTTTTCTTGGCTATTTCGTCCCGTTTCACTCGTTTTAGGCAATTTCTGTTAGATATGCGCCCCGATAGATTTAGCCCGATTTAACAAATACAGTGCCATACCTTTGAAGAAACACCTTGGTGGGGTCATTGATACGTTTTATCATCTAAATAAGTATTCCATCATCACAAAGTAGGAAAGGATTTGCATGTACAGAGATAATTTTCATAGGCTTTTTCAATGCTCACAATTTCTTACGTAATTCTTTCTTTTTCGTTAGTGCAATCGCATAACTCTAAAAAGTATCGATCAAAATTTCCATATGTTTCAGGACATTGTGGTAAAACATTCGTGATATTGAAACGTTTTGTTGACCTATTGGATTCTGATACCGATTCCCGGAAGTTTTCCTGGCTGCTCATTTCTGATGACGACACATTGATTAGTATTCCGCGCTTACTTCGTCTGCTTTCCTGCTATGATAACAACGAAAAGGTTTGTATATGTATAGGGTGCAGTTTGACGAAGGGGGGGGGCACTTTAGAATTTGTACTACCATTGTCTTTCCTTAGTCCGGTATACAAGTCTCACTCTGGCGAAACATGTGAACTCTTGTGAAGCTGGGACAAGATCGTCAAGTAGTCATGTTAAAACCTGTTAACGACTGCTAGTATCAGGACGGCCGTCGAAAAGGATGTAGCAAAAGTGTGAATGTTTCCCCTCCCCTCCTATCTTCGTCTTCAAACTGCGCCTATGTATAATTTCTATGTTTTTATAAGAAAGTACAGATTCTTGAGGTGACTACTCTCCTGATTTAGTTCTTGCTTTCGTTTTCCTGAATTCCTGGTCTTAAAAAGGCCCATTTTCGGTGGCTTGATTGAAATGCTTGGATGTTGGTTTTCTTGATATTCTGTTAAAGTTCAATAACTCTATTACAGATCATAATAGGTGAACGATATGGATATGGATTCAGTAGTTTTGGCGCCACCGGATACGATTATCCAACTGGCGGTGCTGGGTAATATTTCGGTGTCTTTATTTCTGGTGCGAACTCTGAAGCTGAATGATTACTCTCTTTTGAAGGATGGTATTTTCACCCTCAGCAGCACGAACGATAGTTTCCAACTGTGCGTGTTCTGCCAATGACGCACCTGACGATATGATTATTGGTATACTATTAAACTAGTTTTCACGAAGGTTGATAAGGTTACGTGTCAAATGCTTTCTAGGTTTGGACACCACATAATGTTGTTGGGACAACTTTATTGACCTGCGTTTTAGCGGGGTCGACTCCCGGAGAGCCCGAAAGGATCGAATTGCTTTAAAAATTCCTGACCGAACGCTTCTACCTCATCAAATTCGAGTTCTATTTAGACTATCACGTAAGGTTCTAAGGCGGTTGGTCGGATACCCGTTAACTATTTGTTCCTTTGAGGCTCCGAAGAATTCGATTCCGCTAAAACGCAGGCCAACAGGCGTTAAGCTAGGAAAACACAATCGACACGATGCCGAGGTTCAAGCCGTAATGAATACTTCCACGAAAACCCCGTGAATTTATTTAGGTATGTGCTCTCAGAGGAATAATGTAGCGATTATCCATAATGCCGCATTTCACCAAGCTCGGCCGATTGACTATCCAGAGGAATATATTCGGTACGTTTTTAACTTTCTGGGAACTCCCGCTTTGAATTCCTTGTAGTTATGGGTATCCGAAGCACGCAATCGCGTGCGAACAAGTAAATGTTCCTTACCGGTTGACTCGACAGCGCTGAGTCTTCAAATCAGTTAGGTCATGGCAGCCTACCTCACTAGTTCTTATTTCACTGCCTTTGAAAAATCGATCTGCTCAGAAATTCCATTGTAATCCTACAATTGAAACCACTCAGTGGTGAACGATATCGGATCGCAATCCTCAGTGTGAAAGAATTTCATCTGTTGAAAGCGTTCAAAAGCGCTGAGTTGTGTAGCTCAAATACTGATGACCAGATGGTATATAACACACAAGTGAAGAAAGAGGCCTAAACCCGCCCTCAGATGCTGCACCGCGCTTGCACGGAGAAAAGGGCGTTGTCGGACGAGTTCTAACTGGCTTTCACCATTCGAAAGAAAGAGACTTAGTAGCGGTTTTGGGCGTAGCCGTGGCTAGAAGGCGGAGCCGCGGCCTCGTTGCAAGCGAATTGCGCTTTCCACGCGTTACATAGCTGGAAAAATGGTACATCCCATAGGCTTGCGGACAGGACTACCTTGTCTAAAGAAGGAAACACCATATGAACGCGGAGTGTGCTTTTAATTATAAAAAGAAGATGAAAATTCTACCAAGAAGTGAGTTTCTCATTCCATTCATAGAACAAAATGCAGTATATCAGCTATTCTTTTGAAATAAAGCCGGAAATAAACGGTGGTGGAAGTGGACTGCCTTGACACCACTGTCTTGACGTCAAACTGTTGTGGTGGAGTCAACCAGGTAGTAATGTTGGCCTTCGCACCACACGGCGCCTCGGAGTTCTTGAACTGCCAGCGAATTCCATGTTTTACTGATTGTGTTATTGAGCGCTTCTCTCTATGAAGAGGTGCTCCATAAGTCCTTTTTCAGGCGGCTCTTACCGATCTCATTTCACAAGTTTGAAGATATCGATCCGTACGAGGTGTACATGGAGTACCTTTTTGAACCACCAGTTGTTCAACCAACCGGAGTTTGAAGTGTTTATCGATCCTTTACGTTGTGTATATTAGACCATTTTAGCATGAATAGTCAACATAGTATTAGTGTGTCAAGTAAATGTGCACTGCAGTCTTGGTCTTGTTGGCATTTCAATTCGGACACCGTTCATTCGATATTTATTTGAGAGTTCTCCGCTCTGGCTTTAACGCGCTAAGATCTTCCTTGACAGTGCAATGGTAAGAAGAAGACGACCTTGTAGGAATGAAGTCTCGGGATGGGGTCTGTGACGCGTGAGTAACATGTCTATTTGTTTTAGTCCAAATTTTAGTCTCGGCTGTTTCGTAGGTTTACAACCAGTTAGAGGGGTTTTCATGGGAAACAGAAAAGGTTTTTCAGTTGCATATGCACTTTTTCAAGTTCAATCATATAGCTTTTTTTAAGAGGTGCCTGCGAGTTTGCAATCAACAAGTATTGTCGATTCTTTGGAAAAGTGCGAGCTTACTTTGTGAACTGATTTGCTCCAAAGAAAAAAGAATTTCAGACTGAGGATGGGGAAACTTCACAATGTGGTGCATCAACGTCGTCTCCAGCTGATTCTGTGTCACCGTAGGTTTCCAATCGTGTTGTTTCGAATTATCCTTCCTTTTATGAAAACACAGCGCGCCATTACCTGGTTAGCAGATGTACTCTTTGCTCAGTACGCATGCTACAGCTAACCAGCCAGTTATGCCGCTTCCGTCTGTTCGCTGCTGTGAAAGTATCTCCGCCCCAGGTGCGGGTTCCTGACTGTGTGCGGTCTTACGTCTCATGAGGGGTGGGTTTGTATGGATTGAATAAAAAAGGTGGTTCTCTGGTTTTTGAACTTTTTTCGATTTTTTTTGTGTGTTAAACTGCGCTAACACCCCTCCCGCTCTACGCTCACATCAGTTTTTTTTTTCCTTTGAGGAAGTAGTGTGGGAATTTTTGATATAGAAAACTGCGAAAAAGAAATAGGAAGTTGGGAAAATTGAGGAAGATATTAGGTGGGGTGGAAGATGGGGATAAGGGTCGTACTTGAGGAGGGTTGTACATGTTGCGACAGTTCCGCCGTGACGTACTTTGGCCATCGTCACTATGCCTGTGTCCGGCTACTGGCGTCTGCGCGTTCAAAAATAGGGGTGGGGGTCATATCTGGAATATAATACTCTGCTATGTTCGTCGCAGGCGCACGTTTTAGCATCTACTAAGACATGTTGCAGCGCTAATCCCTATCATGCCGCCTTTTAGAGTTTCTTCGAAGACACATTCTGCTATTAGAAGTCGTGAATGCTGGTGCGTAACAGGTGTATTTCGTGCGGCGTGATGACGTTTTCGGATGGCACTGAGGCCATTCCTACCTGAAGTGGGCCGCTAGTTACGAAAATTCAGTAGCTCACTCATTCGGACGAGATGTCCGACTTAAAATACACGTAGTGTGACGCGGTATGACACGTTAGTATGAGTGCGATTGCCTCCTACGTCCGTCTTCAGCGATTAGTATGTGAACTTGTAGTTGCAAGGGATTGCTGATGAACAAGAAAAGCCA